CTCAACACAATGGATATCATTATGTTCATCTGCATAGTTATTATTTCAAAATACGTTGCTGATGACAAGATCTGAAGAGTGTCCTTTTCTTCTGGCATTATGTGGTGCTTCAAGTAATGAACGTGGAAATTAACCAATGGTAACATCAGTATGAGAACTAAATATCAGCCAAGATGTTTGCATTATGCATCGAAGCTAGTTAAATATGTATGATTATATTTCACCCGATTGTTGGGTTACACCTTGCGCTAACATCCAGATTCCATTTATAATTAGCAGGGGAATGAGACCAACTTCCTGAGGTTATCAGGGAAGAATGAGTCAATCCACTAAAAGGACATTATAAAAAACACTTTGGTTTTATACTGTGAAAGGAATTAATCTAAATCCATGACTCACCTATTGTATCAGTATTTTTTTTCATAATTATTCAGTATGGAGAAGGCTTCAAAGAGAACTTTAAATATCAGCTACTGGCACTTTCATTTTCCTGCTTGTTTCAGTATAGATTTGAACAGAACTGCAACGGCACTGTGGTGCTTGTTGCTTGTAACTGGCTATTCTGGAAACAAGCCAGAGATTTTCTTTTACCCCTCTTACATGTGCACAGAACATGCACACGTGGCATACAGCTCCAGGAGTCAAGCTTACAATACACAAGTCTGCAGCTCCAGTTTGTAGTGCATTGGGCTTAGGACTGCCGTCTCATCATGTGACAAGGAGATAAGAGTATAAGTAAGAGCAATTCAAGGGGCCCAACCTTTCTATCGCTGAAGGTTGCGTTGGCAGCTTGCCAGGAGCCTGGGGATGGAGTTTTTTGTTATATAAATGTAGATCTAATTGAAAATGAAAAAAAAAAATGAAGCTGATGGCTAACCCTGCTCTGTCTTGTTCTCTCTGTTGTATCCATGCAAGGGTGAGAATGAATGGCCTGAGTTCACACCAGTGCTACCCCCATTCATTTAAACTGAATGACTCCAGATTTACACCCTGGCATGCAAAAGGAGGATTGTGCCCCACTGTGTTCTTTGAGTTCACCAGCAATAAAGCTCAGACATCTGACTATTCTCACACAAGAGAAAATGACTCATACATGGCAGGAAGGTAACCGAGCCACTGCCGTGGATCAGGTTTGCCTTCCACCTTCTGGCTACGAGGAGGGGGGAGGGTGCATCTGACCTTCGGAGCTGCACTTTAAGAATCACTGACCTTATATATTCTTCCTTCGGGGTCACCTTCTTTGGCTCCAATTTAAAATCCAGAGCTAGGTAAGCTTGGGAAATCAGACCTGGTGAGCAAAAAAATTAAAAGAAAACATTTGTTACGTTCAGTGGAATATAATTACATTGAACCCTATGGTGAAAAGACATCAAGCCCTTAAAAAGCTTCCCTTCAGACCCTGATCAGATTAAATATTAGTACGGAAGCAGAAAACGCCACAGCTGGAGGGACTGTTGACTGCACGGTGGTCTCGTTTTGTATCACAACACCTTGGGACACAGTAAAATGTTTCCCCTCGGCAGATCCAGCCACTTCATGGAACGCCTGAGGAAGACTAGTCACAGGAATACAATACGCTTGTATGAGTAACGTGCGCAGTATTAGGCTCCCAGCCCTCCAAGGCTGCGATTCAAACCATTCTAGACATCTGCGCCATGGACCAGTTCCTATTGACATAACAAAAACCCTTTGAGACAAGATCTGAAGAGTACAACCCACAGTTCTGCCCAACTGCTTTGTCCCAATTATCACTGTGATGAGTAACGTCATTTTTAAGCCTAATTATGAAGGTATATTTATTATCCTACACTTGGCCATATCACTGGGGTACTTGCGTAATTTCACAGACGAGTGACACTCAAGACAGCCCATTACTGTCAGAAGCCTCCATCTCATTTCACGCTAATTGCTCTCCAAAATTGGTGTGATGCAGTTTTGACATGAAAACATTTTCAACAGTATCATTAATTTAGGGGGGAAATTTCCTGGAGTAATTACAGCCAACATCCTCAGTCATTCCTGATTATCTCCCCCAGCCCCCACCCCTCGCACACTTTACTGCTGATTACCAAAAAGGCATATATTATCTACTCTCTAACTCTGAAGTACCCTAAATGGGTCTCTTTAAGCATCTTCAAAGAGAAGGTAAATATTACCTTATGTATCTAACAACCTGAATTGCTAAAATACTTAGTTTTTCTGTTGGCCAGAATACTTACCAAATGTCTTTTTTTTTGTATGGATGTTATTAAATGTTCTCAATTTTGGACTGGATAATGTTAAGATATAACTTAACACATTAGCTAGTTCTATACTGAGTAGAATCCGAACTGCTCAATCACATGTTACACATTATACACTGCTAGTAAAAGATGTTAATCACTGATCTCAGCCAAAAGGCCGAGAAGCGATTCTCCTTTAGCCCAGTTGGAAAGCACCTGTGCCCATTTGAATGCTATGCCCAGTGCTGGTGTGATGTTCCCAATAGCTACAGGGTACAGCTGAGTGACACCTGCGTACCTGCCTGGCCTTGAATGTATTGCATTGTTTCATGGTTGAGTTTATTTTTGCTCCCTCTGTTTCTCTCTCCGCTAGAAAATATAGATGAGTACATAACCCAATCCCAATTAGTTGGAGTTACTATCTTTGCTGCCGGGGCCCAAATACTCATGTTGCCAACCACAATAATCACGCTGCGACCCAAATAATCATTTGGGATCCTCTCTCATTCTTGAAGGCTTTGTATCTTTATTACACAATGCTGTACCTTTGCACCATTGCACACAGACACAGCATGACGCAAGCATACAACACCTACATGCTTCACTGACTCATCATGTGGCCTGCAAATAGGGTTTAATTGTCTTGTAATAAATAAGTTTGCAAGGTGGGGAGTGAACCCATGAAGAATTGACAAGATGGTTCCAGTTTATGACAGACAGTCAACCTTAAGTTAATGAGAGCTAGACATTGGCATTTCAAGGCAGCTGGGGGAAGAGATTCCTGGTAATACTCTTTAATTTGCGAGTTAGGTTGGCTTCATGTCGGATGACGGCAGGACAACAGCATCAAGCTCAGACTTTCGTCCCTCTTGAAGGATCCACAGCTGTGATTAATAGCTTCTAAAGAAATGTGTTTCAGTCCTCCATAAATGAAAGCACATGTCAATTCATGATGGGTCATTTGAAGGGGTTTTGTAAGGAAAAAAAAGGCTGAAAATATATCAATTCTCTTACTTTATACTAAACTCCAGGAAAGTTTTACATCTGATATGTTCAATATAAAAGAGCGGCTCATCCCATGCTACCTTCATTCTCGGTGCCCCTAGAGAAGCTTTTTCTGGTTTGATGTAGGCCACTTCGGGGCCTAAATGAAAAACAAGGACTTTTTAAACTGCATAAACCAGCCCTCCAAGTGAGAAACACAACCATAAATTCCTGTACTACTAAACATGCCCACTAATTATCATCTCTGGCTCACATCGCGGACCTCTCAGAGCCTTCACAGAGCGCTTCGCTCTCATCGAACCGTCCTGATTCGGTGCATTTCAGTAACACCGTGCAGCACGCTCCTAAAAACAACCTGAATGGTTTTCCACAACACACCGGCTTTACAGCCCGGTCTCTCTCTCTCTGCTACAAACCTAAACAAACCCCAATATTTTTTCCTGTATTTTTTAAAAGATTCAAAACACATACAGCAAGTAGGTCAAACACTATCCAGGCTTCATATTTAGTATAAAATGCCAGGATTTGGGGGCCTATTTGTCCCTTATGAGATAACCTGCTCCATCACCGTGCAAGGGGGTCCTGTTTGTGAACAGGCCACGTTGGACACTCATTGCAGGGCCACGGGGTGACCCGGATCCTGAAACCACCCTCAGGGGTGCGGGAAAACGTGCCGAAGCCGTGACACAAGGCGTTCAGACATCGAGGGTTGCCAGCTCCGAATCTGTTCTGGGAGGTTTCATCACACGACGTCATGGCATTAATTACGGTGTGTCGACTTGACACTAGGAAGGAAAACACGCACGGCTGTGACATTTTCAAAACCTACTGAACTACTTTATCAATCGGATTCAACATTTAATATGTATTTTAATGAACACCCTATCATATAATCTCCCGGGTGGCTCTCAGTGGTCTCCTGGAGAGTTATATCTCATTCAGGGCAACCCTAATACCAGCACAGAGCATTAGGCCAAGGGCCGTACCTACCCCCAAATGCCTCGAGATGCAGGATGTTCAGGGGTATTCGTGACGGCTGCCTCGAAACGACGCAGGGGCTCCCACGTAGACACCACGGGCGCGGGAATTGCGGGAGATAGAGCAACGTGGCAGGGCCGCAGGGGGCAGGAAGGGGAGGGTGACCCCTTTGCTGCCTGATTCACCGCCGGGAGATGGGCCAGTTGTTTTTCCAAGCAGAATACGGCACGGCACCGGATGGCCGCCCTTCCTCGGGGGGCAGCTAGCCGGTCACCACGAGGGCTGGTATTCGGGGGGTCACTGGAGGAGAAACCTTGGCCTCCCGTCATGGCTGGCCCCAGCAATGCAGGCTGTGAGGGACCATGGGCGCGCTCAGGGGATGGTCCACAGGTGCTGCAGGGGCCTGGTCCTCTGGTGTCTGTTGCTAGGATACGGTTGCCCCCAGAAACCCATCACCTACTAGCCTTTAGGGGCATACTCCTGACATCCCCCAGCCACCCCAGGGGCCTTGTGAGCAGCCCCACACACAGGAGGCCATTTTGCCCCTTTGAGGCTTCACATCCCGCCCTTAAAGCACAATATCTCCTCTGGGAGGACTCTAGGTAAGCTGGGGTCAGCGAGACGCGGCTAGAGGGGCTCTGCCAGCTGTGGCGCTCTGTATCCCGCCTGTCACTGGTTCCCGGCTGGGCGGTGCCGCTCTAGGCAGCGTGTCTATGATGAGACCGCGGACGG